TGCATGTTCTGTAAACAAATTATGAAGCACTGGCACAGAATATAAATGATAATGTGTCCTGATTAATTAATATGCACACACCCAATAATGACTATACCTGTATGTTTTATTTATTTTCTCAACTTATACTAAAGGTTTTATATTTTCAAATGACCACAGAATGAAATTTTGTTACAAGGAAGAGTATTAAAAAATTACTTTTCAAAATATTCATATACCTCTTTTAGGAGCTGGTAGTTAACATTTGTTTGAGGTTTGAGTTAAGATGTGGGCGTATATCATCTGGTATTTAAATATTAGACTTATTGACATATGGATATCGACTATTTCCATACTTGGTATGCACATGAAAACTTGCCAGATGGTACTATCTCATAACCTCTTCCATAATGAGAAATGCTCATTGGCAGATGCTGATTCGTTGTGGTCTACTGACATATGCTGAAGACCCTGGTATCTCCCTGTTGAATGTCATCTGAAACTGCTTTGGTTATTTGAAAATTAAGACAAATCGTGTCAAAAACAGTACCCATAGGTTAACAATTCTTATTACCATATTATCAGCTGATAAAATACAATATTTGTATATATATGCATGTGTATAGAAGTGAATTGCTACAGGCATGTTCAAGATATGTATGTGTCTGTCAAAAACTGTCAGTCGACCATTTTTGACCTGATTGTGTATCTTAACATGTACAAAGTTTGAATGAAAATTGACATATTCAATATATCATGTTTTCAAAAAACAAGATGCCAACTTTGATCCAAGTATGAAATCCTTGCAGATAAGGTACTAGGTATGTACTAAGTTTGAGAAGAATCAGTCCAGGGATGTCAAGATACAGGTTCGGGTGCACAGTCACATGCACAGACAGATGCATGGATCAAGACAAATCAGTCCCGGTTTTTTACTTCATCCACTAGTTTGGAATAGCATTCTTTAAAACACAAAATGGCCATCAGTCAGCCATATTTTTTTTCATATCAGTAAGTTTTGTTTGAAATGTTTACACACTCATTATTTCGAAATCACCTGATACAGTGACTAGTGTATCTATCTAGAAATGCTGTCCATGAAAACTTTGTTCGAATAGGGCCAATCACACAACCTTGATACAAGCCTAAGATGCAGGATTTTTTGTGTTTACCAGACTGTCGTCAGGAGGAAAAGTCAAGTCAATTAATGTACTGTCCAGGTCTACTTCCCTTCATTTCATATCAGTTGACTCAAGGGCGGTAGGCAAAAGTTTAAGATAAGCCAGGATTAATGACAATTTAATGACAATATATTGGAATAATGACAATAAAATGCATTTACTTTGAATAACTATGTCTAAATTTACCTTTTACAAGTACACAATTCTGGCTGTACCATTCGCTCATATTATTTAATTCCACATTCGATATAAAACGCATTGTATCCTTCGAGCCGTAAGTTATGAATTAGCGGCATAAAAAGTGTTGAACAGCGCCACCACCGTCCATTTTTTCGTTTTGGAAAATATCCAAAAGGAACGATTTCGTTTTCGGCTTCACGCTCGCGTGCACATTTCTCGTTTCCTTGGTTTCAGCCATAAAATATTTAGTGAAACTATAATATCCTCGGGGCGGACATCCGGGTACTTACTTTGCAGCCGCATAGCAACAGCAGCTGGCGGTGAAAACATACACCGAGCAAACTATATAGGTTCTATTACATTTACATTGATTGTTATCGCTTAGTCATTTTGTCTGTAACGCAGCACTTGTAAAATGCCAAAAAGTTGTGTAATTATTGGATGCAAAAGTCATAACTATTCTTTGGATAAGAAACGGTCATTTTTTGAGTTACCAAAACGTTACAAAAGTCCTGAACTGCGCGATAAGTGGCTTTCGGTCATTCGCAGAGTAGCCGAAGACGGTTCCCACTGGAGCCCGCCCAAAACGCTTACATTATGTTCTGACCACTTTCTTACTGGTAATTAAAAAATATGGAAGATAATGAGATAATTTGTTAAAGTGTAGAATGATTTTATTATTTCTTACAGTACATATATGTTTATGTACATTCGGTAGGAGATTTCAAGTATCTAAATTTCGTTTACGCCACTACAGTTGTATTCTGTTAATCTGTCGATATCATTTTGTTGTGAAATCTCTTTTGGTTTAACATTTTTAGTAATAGTTGTACGTACTAAAATCGTACTTTCTTAGTAAACATTTGAATTTATACATTAGAGTTAGAAAACACTGTAATCCAACCTAATCCTAACTTTAACCCAACTCATATCCTCTAGTGTTCCCTCAAATTAATATACTCCTCTTGAGAACACCTACAGTTAACTTGAGGAGAGTATGCAACTGAATTTGAGGGTTGAAGGGTTAGATTTTGAGAAAGATCGCCATGTTTTTTTTCTGTTGAAAAATAGTGGATTTTTGATGTTTTTGACTAAACAAACGAACCAGAAACAAACTTTATAATGATTCGAAAGACACATCTTTATCAAATCTGAATATGTATGTATAGTGAAAAGCACAATACTGGGGCTTTGCTTAAACATATTTATACAAATTTGTAAATACCAATTACAATTTAAAATGTATGTCTCTCTCCAGTGACTTACACAAATTACTATGTTAGAGGTTTCCTACACAAACTGAGCTGGTTATTTCTATGTAAACGCAATTGTCTGCATAGCTTCAAGTCGCAAACTACAGATGTAATTGTAAGCCTGCTCAGGTTTCCAAGAAAAAAAAGTTTAATTTTGAGTCCTATCCAAGTAAAACTAGCTGATGATCATTTGTATTTTTTAATGATATCTATGCTCTAGTTTCTCTGTCTGTCTGTATTATTATATTACCACATTTTATCAGTGATACTGCATACGCATGATACATGCAGCCAAATGTACATTTGACTCCTACTGAATTGACTACTGATAAAAACAACACTGGGACTGTGCATTATTTCCCAGCTGTGCTGGCTGATTCTGTTCGAATATTGATAACACCTGTAGTAATTTTGGATAATTGCAAATTGCCAGACTGGCAACTTTTTTGAACATGATCCAAGATGCAGATTGATTTTTGACTTTAGTGTACAGAAAACAAAGGAGGTTAAGGCATGCTGGTGCCTGTCTGTATAAATGTATGTAATCTTGTTCCACCAATATCTTATAAACCACTGGGTTGATTGGAATGAAGTTTGTCACACACATATTTTGCAATGTCCTGAATAGATTTTACTACAAAAACATGCATAATAATTAGCTGATTTGAATACTACTCTCAACATTGTTGTTAATGTTTTAAGATCAAATGAAACAATGAAACAAAACTTGTTACAAAAATTATTTTTATAATGACATAGCAGTCTAACAGGGGCAATGGTTGGCTGGAATTTTTTTTGCTGTGTGTGTCTCTTCTGTACATTTTCTTGACTGTGGTAACTTTTTTTCCTGCAAACACCTGGGCATGCATTTTTTTTCCTTCTTCTCCAGCTTGCAATTTTGTTTTTCAACAAATCTTCCAGCTACCCCTGTGATTTCAAATGTTGGACCTGTTAACAAATCACAGCTGGGTCTTGCAAGCAAAGTTCAAATCTAGTCAAATAAAGGTTGTGTATACCTATAAAAACACAAATGGGGACACACATTTGATGAATTTGTTTGCTCAAATCAACTTAAATATTTTCAAAATCACACAACTGCATGTTTACTTAAATTGGTTAAAAATTACTTACTGTAGTACATGTATACTGTTTATGTAGTTTCATACTTAATACTAATTTGTAATTCATTTGCATATGTTAAATTAAATTTGTGCTATTAACACAATGGTTCCGAGAGTATATTGAATCAAATGTTGAAATACAATTATTTTGAAATTTATCAATTTTGTTATTGATAATTAATTATTTCTGATTAATAATCGTTTTTTTTTCATATATCTAGAGCAGCATCATAGGATTGGTCTAGGTGATTACAAGACTGCATAAGATAAGAATTGCAATTATATTAATTAGTTCAGAGCCATCTCTTTTCTTTTTCTGGTTTCTTTCTCTCTTGGAATTTATGGTGTTCCCAGCATCCTTTGCATGCCTCTCAGTCATTCACTGGCACATGACAGCTAATTTCCCTTCTGGAAATGAACACACAGTTCATGTATTTTCCACAATGTATTTGCTTTGCTTTCGTTTTTCAAAATGGACAATGAGATCCCAGGTTGAAATCCTGATGACAAAACATAATCAACATCTTCTTATGTCAGGATGCATTACATGATATTACATGACCAATACTGTCATTATTACTATTAAACTTAGCTCATTTTTTTATAGAAAAACCTGTGAAAGACCCTCTTCACCCTGATTATGTGCCATCAATTCTTCCTCACAAACCCAACAGTGAGAAGAGAGCAAAAGATAGTCTGCGTAGATATCAGCGACGACAGTCTAGGCTAGACCGAAATAATACGCTACACCAATGTGCAAAAACACTGTCAGTTAGTGATGTGTCGAATGTTGAAGATTGTTCTTCTTTACGCAGTGATATACAGCCAATAGAACAAAATTCAGATTCAGATTTACAACTTGACTATGAAAAGCTTACACGTATCTTTGATTATGAATATGAAGCTGGGAATACTGATCAAAACCTATTGATTGGGCAACTACACCAAGAGATACAGAACTTAAGATAAGAACTTGAAAAATCAAAACAGCAGATAAGTCACCTCCAGGAACAATTTGAAAGAGTAAAATTGCAGGCATCAGCTATTGAAGGAGATGATGTTAAATCCAAATTTTACACTGGGTTGCCTTGGGACACATTCCTTCGTCTATATTATTTCCTGATACCACATGTCACAAGTAGAACAAAAAACAGCCTTCGTTTTATAGATCAGTTCTTTCTTACTTTAGTCAGATTACGTCTGGATCTTCCCTTTGAGCTACTTGCATATCAAACTGATTGTGGGGAAACTACAGTTCGTGATTATTTTTGGAAGTGACAGATATTATGTATGCAAAACTAGAATTTCTTGTTCAATGGCCAGACCGACAATCAGTTATACAGACTCTACCACCAGAGTTCAAGGAGAAGTTCCCCCGATTAACGTCAATCATAGATTGTTTTGAGATATTCATTGATTGCCCTGGAAATTTATTATCCCGTCAGAAGACTTACTCTAACTATAAAAAACACACTACAGCAAAAGTATTTGTTGCTTGCAGTCCCATTGGTGCTATCACCTACCTGTCTCTAGCATGGGGTGGACGTGTCTCAGATGTTGAATTAGTACAGAAGTCTGGATTTATTTCAAGGTCATTACATTACCCAGGGGACCAGATTCTTGCTGATCGAGGCTTTACTCTCAAAGATGACTTTGCTACAATCTGTTCTGTAGAACTTATAATACCTGCATTCACAAAAGGCTTAAAACAGCTATCAGCTTCGCAAGTTGAATTATCCCGGCAAAAATCATCAATTTGCATCCACACTGAACGTGTTATAGGCCTTCTAAAGAACAGTTATACCATTCTTCAGGGTACACTTCCCATCCACATTGTCAAGTCTCTTAAATATGAAGCTGATGATGCAAAGGTTGCTAGTATTGATCGTCTACTGAGAGTTTGTGCAGTACTGGTCAATTTGGGAAGCAGCATTGTATTTAAGGGTTAAATTATTAATATTATGACCTATACTTATATAAGCTGTTTATATATTTAAATTTTACATATAAACTTTTAGCTCCGCTCATGGATTAAAGAATGGATGATTGCCCATTGTCTGTCAACAATATTTTGTTATTTGGTAAAGTGATATGTTGAAAATTGCAAGTGTGATTGCTTTGATATTCGGAACCTCAGATGTACCTTTCTCAGATTTGTTCATTTTGTGATAATACCTTTTTTTTAATTTTCTAATAGATATGTGCATTGCTAACAGTGCAGCTATCACAGGAAAGGCTACTTGTTTGTAGTTTCCTTCTGAAGATAAAACTAATTATTCCATTCATAGGTGTATGTTCAAATTTTGTGTTTACAAACATTATATATTTTATGATTTATTTTATGATTTTTTACCTTGCCCGTACCATCAAAGATGGAAGGGAAAAGTATATTAAGGAAAAATTTCTGTCCACGTTGTTGTCGTCGTCGTTAATAATTGTTATTGTGTGCACAATAACTTTACTAATTCTATTCCAAACTTTATCAAACAGTCACCTTATTTATCAGTATAAAGTCTTCCCTGAGTATGAATGACAGATGTCATGTATGTAAATATTATGCAAAAATGGAAAATCGGATAAAATATTTTGACTCTTTCTACTTGACTGATCACTGGTTTAGTTCTCTTTGCTACAGAGAATAGTTTTCAAACTTGGTATACAAGTAGATATGATAATAGTTGCAATTGTCATAGCAACAATCATATAATCTACCTTGGTTAATATGGCAAGAACATAATGAATCACATGGGACTCTTGATTTGAAAAAGATCTTTGTTATCATTTGTGTCTAAGGTCTTTAATCTGTACTTGAAAAACAATTATTAATAAATCATTGCATTACAGAATAGAATATAGGATAGGTCTAATAAATACATCTATTGTATAATCCAATATCACGTCTATAGCTATATATCTGGCAGTGGTTTTCATTTTTTGCTATAGAAGGTTTGGGGTTCATGCAGATTGGTAAATAACTACTGTAAAACATGTCTTTTTAGCTAGCATGTTATTTTAGCTAATTTGTAATTTCGCTAATTTAAGATGTCGCTAATTTAAAATAAAGTATATTCTCACAATGAGAGTGTTAACACTTTAGCTAAATTAAGATTCTGTTAATTCATGCATGGAGTCAAATTCGCCAAAATGGCATGTAGCTATTTAAACATGTTTTACAGTATTACAATAACTATTTGTACAAAGGGATTTCAAACTTAAGTGAATGAATGATATTAAACAAAATGTCAGCTGTTGGTAGTGAATTATTTTTAAATATACATGTACAGCAAAGGCTTTCAAATAAAATTTAGAGCAATTAACATAACTAATAAAAACAAAAATAGCCATGAGTATAATACTATGTAAAATATTTGTATTTTGATCAGTATATATTTGAGGCACTAGTAAATATACAGAAGAGAATGAAGGAAACAAAACTCAGAATCAGGCTGATGCGTTGAATTTGCAGCCTTATGCTATATATAATATGAACAGTAAATTCTTGGAGATGATAGTTTTGGTACGAAAAATGTGAAAAAAAATTTAGACAAACATGAACAGGCAAGAATAATTAAGGACTAAGTATTTTTTATTGGTCGAATATATAAATGTATGATATGTTATTAAGACATTTTTTTTGGAAATGCTCTCCACATTCTATACATGTGCATGAGTCTGTAATAAAGATACAGGTATTACTAGCAAACAGATAGGCATGTATATGACACGTTTTATTAGAACCAGTCGTCTGTGATTTGGCCATTAACACTAAAATTTAGATATAAAAATAAAAAAAAGATTTACTAAATTAGTAACTCCATGCAAATTATTATTCCCATTTGTATGCAGTCCGAAAAAAGGAGCTTATGTTTTTACCTCCATTTGTGTGTTTACACCTGTATCTAGGACATGCCTCCTATGATATCATTCAAACTACCGGTAATACACACATACATACCTTACACATATCGGGACACATGTGCACCTTAATTCGTTTCATGATCTAATTCAAGATGGCCAACTAGCGACCATTTTTGTACTAAAATTTTATTCATTACGAATCAGGCGACGTATGGGGAAATTGTTTT